GGACTATTGAAATCAGTAGATTTTCCATTAGCACAAATAATGATCAAATTAAATGCATTACATTAATCTATTCCCCAGAGATCTTGGTATTTGATAAAGAATTCCTGAATTTACTTCAAATCCCAATCTAGCAACATATGAAATGAAATTGCCTTTGTTTACTGCAGAAAAAAAGTATATGGCTTTTTAAATTTTGTTTGTTTGTTACTACAAAACAAAATTCTCTGACTTTTTTTTCAATGTCCTTGTAGAACAGCCTTCGCTCTAGAATTTAGCCCTGACACCAAGTTACCATAAAAAACAGTTGGATTAAGACAGGGGTGGGTTCCTGCCAGTTCTAACCTCTTCTATAGAAGAGGATCCAGAAATCTACAATGCTGTTTAGAACCAGTTCTAGCTCCCTCCCCCAGCCCATCTGCACCATGCTTGCTCTCTGATTGGCTGGCTCACCAATCGCCCTACCTGCCTCTAAGAGTCCTCTAAGAGACTTTAAGGTTTAGATAGGAAACCTTAAAGTCTTAAAGCTGTCAAGTTTGAACATCCCTGGGTTTTTTTCTAAAGAGTTAGGGGTGCAAAGGTCTTGTAACTGACAGCTTTAAGAATTGCACACTTCAATGCCAGAGTTCCTGAGCCAACATGACTGGAGGAGGAATTCTGGGAGTTGAAGTCCACAAGTCTTAAAGCTGTCAAGTTTGAACACCACTGGGTTTTTTTTTCTAAAGGGTTAGGGGTGCAAGGGTCTTGTAACTTGGCAACTTTAAGACTTACGTGCTTCAAATGCCAGAGTTTCTGAGCCAACATTTTGGTTACTAAGCAAGAGTGTTGTTAAGTGAGTTTCACCACATTTTAAAGTTGGCCACGCCTACCCAGTCACATGACTTCCAAGCCACTCCTACTCAGTCACATGGCTGGCAAGCCACTCTCACCTGGTCACATGGCTGGCAAGCCATTCCCACAAAGCAGGCCACACCTACAGAAGAGTTTCTAAAAAAATTTGAAACCTACCACTGATGTGCATAGACTTTCAGATGGATATTTGAGTAAAGTCTGGGTTCCCAATGCAGGTTGGCCAATTTCTTCCATAAAGTGTTTCCCTGAAAATAGGACCTATCCTGAAAATAACCTTAGCTTGATTTTTACGTGCGCGTAATATAAGCCTTACCCCATCTACTCTGTCCCACCATATGGTTGTACTATGTGAAGTGAAGCACATGCATAAAAATCAAGCTAAGGCAGGATGGAGGAGTGGAGCTGCCCCACATGCCCCGTATTCACTTATCTTACAACCGCTGTAGCCAGGCTTCCCAAGCCCCAACACCTGTTGCACTGCTGCTCGACTTCTTCTGTGGCAGCTTGCAGCTTGCGTATTGTGCTGGTGCCGCCGCTTGTGGCTGGACACCACGTGACATGTTGCACCAGTGCCAGCACTCATGTGCGCAGCGACGTAGTGCACCATGCGGCCTGCTGCAAGCGGCACCAGCACGATGAACCCTGGGGCATTCAGCCGCAAGCAGCCACAGAAGTCAGGCTACAGCACAACAATTGTCGGGGAATGGGAGGCTTGGTTGTGGCTGTCCTAAGGTAAACAGGTATGGGGCGTGTAGGGCAGCTCCACCCCCTCCCCTGCCCAAAAGTTGTTATCTGCTATTCCACACTTTATTTACATTAGCGGTCATATAAGTAGCTACTAAAAGAACCCAAGTTTAGAAATACTTTAATGAAAATCTGCTGGAGTTCCTATTGTTACTTTCTGATTACATTAACTCTTTATAAGATTTAAAGAATCAGTTATCACTTAAACATGTTAACTGAATATCTCCATTAAATTTGCTTGGAAATGAAATCTGAAAAATAGGTGTGTGTAGGGGGAAGCATATATTATTCAGAGGCACTTGATATTTCCTCACACCACAGCACTATGCTTCAGATTTACTTTCTATACTTTGCTGGATTATAATTTTCCTTGATTGTATCATGGCCACAGGAACTGGAGTTTTAGTCTAGATATGCTTGGAAGGTCCATGGTAGGGAAGACTGCCATACATTTTATATAATCTACCATAATCTATACACATTTTCTTTTGTGATTGTACAAATTAATCTGTGAATGTGTCTCAATTGCTTGGAAACTTTAAAACAGTGTTTTCAAACTTGGTAACTTTTAAGATATGTAGACATCATCTCCCAGAATTTCTCAATCAGCAAAGCATTGCTTTAAACAATGTGCATTGACCTTTTAAAGTTTGTAATGCAGTCCTAGCTTGACATCATGGCCTGTGCCAATGGGTTCAAAATTATATTTAGGTTTTCCAATACCAAACTAATGGCAGCTGACAATCGTAGTTTTATTTGGAGGTGGCAAGAAATTATCTAAAGTAATTTCATTTTTTGCAATATGCTGCTTTTGTTTTTTATTGTACATATGGAGAAATGTTTAGATATATTCCTGATAGGAGAGAATGGTTTCACAGGTCCAACAGGAATTACAGTATATTATAGAAACTGGGTACATATTCCCGCCAAATCCTGGGTTCCACAAATTAAGAAAACACAGTGATTTGCAAAATTGCTACTTTCGATTTAGGACTGGAAACTGGCTTGAGAGGAATTTCTTCATATTTGCCAAATGCATTAGTTTTGCTAGTAACTGTTTGTGCTCACATTTTGTTTCACAAGGTTGCTATAATGATTTCAACATGTGTTGATATCACTGTGTTTTAAATTAGCAATTGGTTACTTTTCAAGCTGACATTTTTGCAGGACAGTTTTATGACCTGACTGTATAGAAAACCCATGTATCAAATAATTCATATTTTGAGGTAGGCATTAATGATTGTCAGCATAGCCTCACAAATGGCAAATAGCTTAATGTTGCCAGGAGACAAGTTGCAATATGTAATCCTCTAAATGAGAGGTGAGCAATTAATTTTCCCAAGGGGCTACATGAAAAATGTGGACTGTACTGAAGAGCAAAGTTATGTGGCTGTAAAGATGCATAGGCATGCATGCATGCATGTATATGCAAATTGGAAAAACAAATAGTTGCCTTCAAAATAAAAGGAATGCAGGTGTATTGTGTGTGCATGGTGTATATTTATTTACATTTGATTTCTAATTTCCAATTGACCTCACATGGGCCAGAGTGACAGCCCAAGGGCCATAAAATGCCAAGGTCGCTCTAAATCATCATGAGGTTATTGAAAGATTTTGTATTTTTCTCTTAGCATGAGTTTTGTGTACAAAATTCCACTTGGTGATGAAGATTTTTGTATTCTACCTGTCTTCTTCTCATGTTTTTATTTTCTACTTAATTTTTTATTGCTTATTTTTTGCATTTATATTTTAATTGTTATATCTTGAACACCATTTGATGGAAAAATTGATATAAATCCTAGAGGAATGTAGGGAGCAAAGGTGCATGTGCTCATTTCTGTATAAAATGAAAGGGATATTTGGGCACGTGCTAGCCTCCAGTTTACAATGATATACATTGAAATGTTAATATGGAGTCAAATTGTATTAGAATTCCAGTGCAAACAACCACAAATCTTTAGAACACCATTTCTTATGAGCAAGTATTAAAACCTGGATTTCATACCATATTATTTTAAAATAACCTGGTTCACTTGGTAGTTATGAAGATTTGCCAGTATTTGCTGAATGAAAAATCCTGAGTAGCATCAACTTATTTGCTATAAGGAGTTAAATTCTGATCAGGAAATGTTCTTTTAAAAGTTTGTTCTCTACAATGAACAAGAAGCTCTTGGGAATACAGAAACAGCTGTTCTAAATCTTAATTTGCATGTTATGCAAAAGTTTTCAGATGGGGGTCTTGCTGTGTTTGTAAAGAGTTTTGTTGGTGGTACGAATTTGTGGCTTTGTAAGCAGATGCCTAATGGGATCTAAACTGATAAATACTATATGAGGCTCTCTCTGTCATTTTGCCAAGACTAGAATCCTTCCAAAGTCATATAGTGGTTTTGAACATAGACATGATTGAAAGCTCAGTGAAAAATAATCAGTCTTCCCCATCTTCATGTATTTCCTTTATGTCAGACTATATTGTCCATTATCCCTAACTAGAAGGACACTAGCTGTGAATGATGGAGTTGGAGACTGGCATATCTTTTTTGGAGAAAGCTGATATAAATCATATAAGAAGGATGCTGCTATAAGATAGAAATAGTAATCACTGTTGGACTTACTGTATAAATAAACAACAATATAGACATATATTCCACATTTTTTGGAGTTATGTTCTCGTTGACAGAGGAATGTAGCAGGACTTTAATGCAGGTAAAACCTTTCAGAGACGCTCAAACTTGAGACTGATCGTATAGTTTTTTTCATATACTGTATGAATTTTACTTAAAAACTCCATCCAGTTTAAGGGATGCTTCAGTTAGCTCTTTGCCCTTATAGCATTTCCCTAAGGACTTGATAAGCCTTCCCCAGTCTGATGTTCTCTAGATAGGTTACGAAGACCAAATTTATAGAGAGCTTCATGTTGGAGAAGTTTGTAAAGGAAGTGGATAAAATCTTGAGATCTTGGATAACTATTATTCCCTTTTCATGAGAGGGGAAAGGACAGACAGGAAATTAACAAAGGGCAGGTCAAATTTATTTTTATACTCTGCTTTGCCACTTCCATTTACATTGTCGCTTATCTGAATTCAGGAGTTAATTGTATTGAAACTTATCGTTTAAATAGTATCTAACATCATTTAAACTCTTGGAAGAAAATAAAGTTTTGTCTCTTACATTAAATAAAACAACATGCTTGAAACGTATCCATAATAAGTAGGACGAAGTAATACAAGGTAGAAAGGAAGTCTCAAATAATCTTGATAGAATTATAAGGTATGAAAAAAATCTCAAAGCATTGCTATTGATAGTAAATATATAAAAGTGTCATGGTTTGGTATACGCTAAGTCTACATGAGCAGTACCATTTTTTATGCTTCTATTTTTTATTTTTTATTTTTTTTGCCTGTTGCTAGGTGCACGGATCCAACCCAAAGTCCATTTTCAAAGAAGAGCCCTGAGGCTACCAGAGAATACTAGCTATAGTGACCTCACAGCATTTCTTACTTCAGCTAGTTCACCCTGGGAAGTGGACAGTTTTCCTTATTTGCAAGGCTATGATGGCAATGGAACTGGTAGATGTTTAATCTTTATTCTTGGCATTTGTTTTAATTTATATGAGACAATTTGGCTTAAATATTTTTAGAATTCCATCTTTATATAGTCAAAGACATCTCTTTTTCTCTGTTAGCAAAGGAGAGCATTACCATGATAAAAATCATGGAAAAATAGAATTAAGTGAGTGCCATAAATAAATACTGTGGAAGGAATAGTTTAATATTTTGTATGCTAATGCTTTGAGATCAAGCCTCCTAATTTTTATCAACAAATGTGAATGCCAATCAGCTCTATCTGTGAAGACCAAGGCAGACATAGGACACCAGAAATCAAGAGTTTATTACATTGCATTTCTTGGCAAGTTTGTGCCTATTCCTTACTTCACAGTCTTTATTTTATCTTCAGTTTTCCCCCCAGTCATAACTTGACTTTGAATGCCCTTGGGAATATAGGGCTGCTTTCTGTTAAGCTGGTCACATGGTGAAGCTAGAATCAGATAAATCACAATCTGTGATGGTCAGAAAGTGTTCTCCTCTCCTCCTTTAAAATATCGGTAAGATGATGATTACAATTTAATAATGTAACCTACTTATTCACAACAAGGCTCTGAAGCAGCTTCTCAATGCCATGTGCCTTCCAATCCCTTCTGTAGAAACTCCTCGGGTTATTTGATCTTTCAGTTTTGTTTTGTTTTTAGATCAATCCTTTTAATTAAAAGCAAATACATGGGAAATTAGTATATATAGCAAAGCACCAACCTATAGTATTTTAATTTTTAATATTATTGGAACCTAGAAATGGCATACTGGCAGTCTTGAAAAATAAAATTAGTAAATGCTGCAATGTGGTACTTTTCTTGAAAATAACTTTGCTTCCCATCCTCTCCAAAGGAGAGGGAAAGGTAGAGGGGGGGAATAACATGAACATTTCATGACCGATAAAAATGAGAGTGGGAGTTATTTTGTAATGCTTCCCATAATATGTTTTCAATATTACAGATGTGCCCACCGGTCCAAGGTGGTTATATAGTCCTGAACGATGACGCCTAATTTCTAGGGGTTATTTATGTTAAGAATTTTTTTTGGGGGGGGGATCCTATATTAATATATGCTTTGTAAGTGTATCTTCTTCCTCTTCTCCATTACCTTGGAGTGGTGGGGAATAAGGCAATATTCTTGAGGTAGACATGCCCAATGCTTTGGGTGTGAAATGAAAACACTAAACTTTCAGAAGCTTTATGCAGCCTTTTGCTTCTTATTTTATTGAAAACACAGGATAAAGGTTTTTTAAAAATTGGCATTTTTTTCAAATAGTTCTAGCAGAATGATGTGACTTTGTTCTGGAGGCTACAAAATGGGTGCTGTAGAGCCAGACGTGGTTCATCTCTGCCTCACACAATTACATTTTTACATCAACTATGACAAAATTGTGCTTCTGCTTTGTTTTGTGTGTTTTACTTAAATTTTCCATGGCAGTTTTACTGGTCCTTATATCTCTGCTATACAATGAATCAACTATCTGTCTGAATATACATACAGAGATTGGAACTGTATAATACAATTTGAAGTTGCAAATCATGTTCTAGATGTATCATCTTCTGGTAATGGGGAAATAATTATTACAAATATTTAAGTAATGAATATCTGTATTTGATTACTTTAATTTTAGATGTTGTGCATTTTGTAACACTATTCATTTTTTTACAGGAAATAACACTAGGTATGATCTTACTCCTGTCACTGCAGTTAGTGTTCATTTACTCAGAAGTGATGGGACTCCAGTTCCAGTGAATGGGCCCATCTATGTAACAGTGCCTCTACCTGCAACCAACAACTTGAAACATCATACTCACGTGCCAGCTTGGAGGTTTGACCAAAAATTTGGTAAGAAAACTTATTTCTGATTCCCACCATGTAAGCCATTTTATTTATGGGCTCTAGCAGAAATGTATTTTTAGTAGATCAGGCATGAGCTCTTGTATTAGTTCAAGAACAATTTGAGTATGGGAATTTCCCCATCCAATTTTATTCTATTATTTGGTTTAAGTTTTATAAGATTTAGTGGGGTGCCTGGCATGAAGCACAAGTAGATACCAAATTGACATTTTTCTAATATATTTAAATGTCAATATAATTTTTGCTTGCCAAGAGATTTAAGTTACAGGTGTAATTTCAGACCATAGCTTCCATTAATCCAGTATTTATTTATTTTGGTTTTTATTTATGAGTCAAGACTGTTATAGATTTTTACTTCTATGAGAGGAGAGTGAGAAAAAAGAGCTACACATACCATACCTTCCTGCAGGAAGATACTTATTTTTTTACCCTTTCTATGTTGTGTTCCATAACTATACCATGATATATAACATTAGTAAATGTTTCTTTGAATTCCCCCCCCACACACACACACACACAAACATACATATTAGTTAAATATTAAGTCAAAGTAGCCAGGTATAAGTGTATTAATAACAGCTAAGTGCAACTGTAAATGGAATTAATTTGGCAGGCCGAATGAAGAACTTCCTGTATAGTATTTCAACATCTGTTTCCTATGGAATAAACATGTTAAACATTTCATAATAGGTTTATCCTTATTATCTTTATTTAAAACCATAAATTCAAATGGCATTTGACACATCTTATTTAATCTTTTTTACTATTAGTATTAAGTCATCAAGTAGAAAAAAATCAAAATAGAATAATGATATTATTATTCATTCTTGGCAATTTTATGGGCCAAATCTTTCCATATCTTCCAATGTTGCACTAATCCTTTGAGTTGTTATATACTCTCGCTAATGTCAGTTTTGATGGTGTCCAGGGTCCATTTTCTTTGGCAATCTGATTTCCTTTTTACCATTAACTCTTTCCAACGTAATTGCATTCTCCAGTGAATTTCCCTGCATAACATAACCAAGATAAGTGAGATGTAGTTTTAAGTCTCATTTCTTTTGGTCATGTCATGCAGGGGAATTCACTGGAGAAAGCAATTTTACCTTCCAGTGACATATTTAGTATCATGCATGCACCCCAGAACTTGATTGTTAGTTATCTTTGCTGTCCAAGGAATATACAGAAGCCTTCTCCAGCGCCAAGCAAACTATTTTAAAAAAAATCTCCGTAATCTATTGAAATATTCATTTTTATGAAGATGGTAACAACAATAACAACAAAAAGAGCAGCCTTGAATGCAATCTCAAAACAACTAGAGCACCACTTGAACAATTGACAAATTTGCCATTAGTCAATTGCAGAAGACGACTTTACTTGGAACAGCTTCTATCCTGCGAGGATATATGTAACATTGTCAAACATCTAGATCAAGGGTGTCAAACTCAAGGCCCACAAGCCAGATTCAGCCTGCAGGGTACTTAGATCTGGCCCATGGAGCCTCCCTGGAAACAGTGAAATGTCCAGCCCAAGGTGCCTCTGTCAGAGAAATCGGAACTCAGGAGGGCCGCATCTAGTCCCCCAAGCTCTGTTTTCGCTGGCACAGGGCTGCAGAAGGTTGTCGCAGCCTAAAACAGAGCTTATGATGGCCACAGAGCCCAGCCCCCACTCTGTTTTCATTGGCAGTTGGTTAGAGGAGGCCGTCATGGCCAAAAATGGAGCTTGTGAGGGCTCTGTGCACCACCACTCCTCAAACTCTGTTTTCGCTGGCAGAGTGCTGGCAAAACTACTAGCAAAGGTGGCATTTGATCACAAGGCAAGGAGGCATCAAGAAATTTTCCCCCTTTTGCATTTGAGCATACAAAAAAGGATAGAAAAGGAGAAAGTGAAAGATAAAAGGGAAAGAAAAAGAAGGGAAGAAGGGAAGAGAGCAAGCAAGGAAAAAGAAGGAAAGTGGGAAAGGAAGAAAAAAGGAGAATGAAGGAGAAAGGAAAAAGGAAAAGAAAAGAAGGAAGAAAGGGAGGGAGGGAGGAAGGAAGGAAGGAAGGAAGGAAGGAAGGAAGGAAGGAAGGAAGGAAGGAAGGAAGGAAGGAAGATATATTATAATGAGGGAAGTCCTACTTTAGCACTTGGCCACCAGAAGCCCTGCTGTCCTTTCACCATTCCCTTATCTCTTCCTGGCCTTTCTTGGTGGTCTCCCATCCTATTGCTGAGGATGCTTTGGTTATAAAGACAGTTATCCTTGCATGGAAAGGAAGTGGGCCTCCTTCTGACCCACCCACTTTTCCCTCACACACACCATGAGCAATCTGCCCAAAGAGAGAGAGATCAGCAGCAACACTAAGAGGTAAGTGCAGCCGGGCACACCATTAGAGAGGTGGCACTGTGCTGTGGGGTTGCAGTGCCCTGGGAGCTCGAGGGCTGGGCTGGGTACTTCCTCTTTGCTGCCTAGTGCTCTGGACAGCCTGCACCACCATCTGAGGGTCCTCTACGTGGCCTGAGACAGCAAAGCTCCTCTGGAGGACAAGGGTTTGGCTTCTCCCCGGTCTTGCCTTGGTCCACTGGAGACAGTGGATCCCCCTCAAGCCCACCAGGCCTCCATAGATGCCTCTTACACTGGTCATGCCTACCCCAGCCACGCTTAACCAGCCCCCTGAGGTCAAACACAAGTTTGATGTGGCTCTCAATGAAATTGAGTTTAAGATCCCTGATCTAGATCTGCCTGTCCCAGACCTTGGTAAAGACTTGTGGGACCATAAAATAGAGAAAGTCATAGAAAATAAAGAAGTTAAATTGCTCTGGGACTTTAGAATTCAAACAGACAGGCACCTGCCACATGACACCTTAGGCTTAACAATTGTCAATAAGAAAGACAAAAAAGTCTGGCTAGTGGATGTGGCAATGCCTGAAGACAGCATAACAGAAGAGAAAGAACTGGAGAAGATAACAAAATACAAAGACCTACAAATAGAAATAGAATGACTGTGGCAAAGGCAAGCAGGGGTAGTATGAATAGTAATAGGTACCTTGGGTGCAATCCCAAAACAATTGGAGCATCATTTGAATACCATTGGCATTGACAAACTCGCCATCTATCAATTGCAGAAGATAGCTTTACTTGGAAATGCTTCCATCCTTCAAACTGTAATATCATCAAACATCCAGATTTGCCTAACCTAGGTCCTTGGTAAGGACTTGTTTGGTAGACAAAAATGCCAAACCCATTCTGAACATTTGGCTGACTGTGATTATTATTATTATACAATTGTATCACAGTGGCCAGTTGTTTTGCCGGATTTGGCATTGGTTACTA